CTGTTTAATTTTGAGGAAAGATTCCTGCTTTCTGCAGTTTGTTAGACATGCATCCAAGTTCTAAAAATTTTCACCTTTCCATTTTTTTTTATTGTTATTATTAAATCCAGAATGATTGACAGAGGAACTGCTTTTCAGATCCATTTCCTTGTGGGTTGAGCATGTTGTAGTTCAGCTGTACTTCGGGGTCTGTCAGACAAACCTCTGGCCTGTTAATCAGTAGATGGACAGTCATTTTCTCATATAATAGGGAAGCATGTCTACAGAGTATATATATAATTCTATTTAAAAAAAACCTAGAAATGTAAAGACTAATGGTGAAGTCCTTACAGATAATAAATGCAGGGCCCAAAATGTACCTCAACTGGGAAGAGTGAGTGAACAGTGTTTACTCATTTATTCACTTTTGACATTAAATTGCTTGCATTTTTAATTGTGAAAAATAAGTTTGTAGAACATGCAAGAAGAGCTGTAAATACAGATTTTAATACAGTGATTAAGTGTATCTTTTAATATTAATACCTGAAGGATTTTGCAGTGTTTTCTATCTTTTGGGGAATGAGACCCCCAACTCGTTATACCCCTCATAACAGCTGAGTCCATTGTAACCTTCAGTAATTGGTTTTTTATTAAAATAAGAGTGCTGTATAAATTTTAGCAACTAGGCTAAATAGGCATTAACAGGCCCTGGGATCCAACCACAATTTGTAACATCGTTCCTTTGGGAAAATGGATACTAAGTGCCCAATAACTAACTTACAAATAGACTTTTGAATCATAGTCCATTTGAGAATAAGGGGCTGTTTGTGATAGTAATACCTTCTATTGGCTTGCTTAAGAACTGCACAGAAGGGACCTATATTCTGCCACACGTGTGGTGAACCCAGCTAGTCTGGGTTTGATCAAAGATTGTTGCTGAGTAGGCATTGAAAGTACAGGAATTAAAAGCAAAATCTACGGTGGAGACAAGTCAAAGGTGGAGTAGAAAGGATGGTTCTGAAAAGGCTTTAGAGGCATGAATGTTCTTAATCTCAAAGCAAAAGGGTGAATCTCAGCAAAGTGTGGGGGTTCCTGCATGGAAAAAACAGGTAAAAAGAGAAATTAGTATAGAAAGTGTATACAAAAAGCTAGGCTAAGAGGAATAAGGATGGAGAACCAGTAATTTTTAAGGAAAATCATAATTCAAAATCTACCAGGAAGTGTGAAATAGCCCACAAAGTCAGACAAATAGATGCTCCAAGAAGTGAAAATGACTTATCAGAGAGATTACAGTTGCATGTTTAGAATCAAGACTTAGACACACCAATTCGCTTATGAATTTAGCACATTTTTTGAGCATCTACTATGGGTAGCATAATCAGAGATTGGCAAAAGAAATTTCTGCATTCATCAAATTTATAACTTAGCAGAATTCCAGCCAACCACAAAAATGTACTAGAGCAGTCTAGGGTATGATAGTGGTAGTTTCTGGAATCTGCCATAAGGAGAATATTAGGTTATCATTATTTCATTCTGAGTTTTGTGTATTTGCTGCCCTAATTGTATTGTAAGATTTATGGAGGGGGGGAGGAGAGGTAAACAACATAGAACATGCTTTCTTGGTATTGTTTTCTAATCACCATACTATTTACCAGTTTTCTAATATACCATACTATTTACCAGTGTATGAGAAAATGCCTGGTCAGTGGAATATTGTGGAATTTCTTTCATTAATGTGGTATAAGTTAGTGGTATAAGTCTTTGCCAGTGGAAGGTTTGGCTACCACACAGTAGTTTTCAGTTCAACACAGCCCAAGTGTTACATTTACTCCATGTGCATCCCTGTGCCAAGGTGCTTTCTCCTGCCCTCCTAACCCTCTATATTAGTTTCCTCTTTTCCCATGCTCCATGCTATAGTGTGCATCTATCTGTCACTGCAGTTACTACATTATATCAGAAAACCTACTCCAGATAGTATGCGTGCTAGCAGTGGTTTGGTTTGATCATTGACTGTGCACCCTCATGTAGCAGGGTTCGCAAATCACATCTTTGCATCTTAATATCCATGATGCCAAGAATAGTGCTGCATCATCTCCAGGGTCAAGGAGTTGCCTTTTGTCCTAGTCACCTTGGGCTGCTATAACCAAAATGGTGTAGATGGTGACATACACATCAGAAATGCATTTCTCATGATTCTAAGATCACAATTCTAAGATCACGAGTCTAAGATTCTGGCTTGCAGAAGGCAGGCTTCCTGCTGTGTCCTCACGTGACTGATTGGGGGGAAGGTGAAGAAGGGAGAGAAGAAGCACTCCTGTCTTTTCTTAGGAGGCCACTAATCCCATCATGAGGGCTCCACCTTCATGACCTAATTATCTTCCAAAGGCCACACCTCCAAATACCCTCACTTGGGGGATTAGGGTTTCAACATAAGAATGACAGGTGGGCACACATTCAATTCATAATACTTTTTATGGTTCAACTTTAAAATGCTTCAGTTTGGCTTCAAACCATATTTCCCAGTCCCTGATGGCTTGGGGCATAGTAGAGGCTCTCAGAAAGTGCTGTCTCTTGCTCTCTTCTCTGTCCCCACCTGCTACTATTGTATTATCAGTCCAGTTCCTTTTCAGGTCCTCCCACCATACATTTGTTGAGGGGATGGGGTAGGTTTTGTGTGTCTTGGGAATATAGTCTACCACCACAAATTTCTGCCAGTCGTATTCCCAGTGCTCAGACTTCTTGTGGTGTTATGCCCTGCTGATGTCTCAGGGCCTCACACACCGTGGGTGGTCAACCCCTTGGGGGCCTCCCCACAACTCCGATGCCTGAGGAAGAAGAGCCATTAGTGTCCAGTCTATCTTTATGCATGCTCCAGAAATAATCCCCAATAGAGAAAGTGTCTTTCCTAGATTCAGTGTCTCTGTGTATCCCCACGTGGGCTATGCCCCTTAACAAAACCTCAGGCAGTGGTCTTCACTTCTCAGGTCTGTCTATTACTCAACCTTTTCTTCTGAAAGTCTATAAAGGACATCAGTAGGAGTAAAGGACTCTGGAGTAGTCTGTGCCTCTAGGACAGTGTCATTAGACCAAATCTCCATACTTTCCTTATCTTTTGGTGAGGATGTTTTTCTGTTATCAATTCCTGGCAGGCACATTCTGCAGCACTGTACAGACCTGTCTGAGTTTCCTGGGGTACATACCCAGGCTGCCATAGTGGGATTTCCCTGAGTGGGTAGAATTTGGTTCACCCTATCTAAGTTCTAAGGGCAGACTATTTGAACAGATGTTTTGTTTGAGATTCAGAATTATGCAAATAATTAAGAATCAAATTATAAAGTTTCCTTTATTTTTAATAAAAGTAAGTTAAGCTTTTATTTTTAGAGAACTACTCTCTATCAATTTCTGTTACTCTGACAAAGAAGGCATTGTCAGCAATGACATTTATTCACAGTCTAAAGTGGCAGAAAGGTGCCTTTTCCTTGCTATGGGGAATTCTTTTTTTTTTTTAAAGATATATTTATTTATGCATACAAGAGCTAGGGTGTAGGCCAGAGATGTGGTGGGTGAGAGGATTCACCAGAGATAGAGTGGGGAGCAGAACAGACGGATTGGATGAAATACACTGCTGAGAGGAGCACTGGGCGAGATGGAAGAGCTCTTCTTAATGAATAAATAGTAACAGGAGGAAGAACAGGTTTTATTGAGTGTTTACTGTGTTCCAAGCCCAGTGCTGAGTAGGTTCATTGATTAACTCATTTGTTCATGACAAAAGTGCTATAAAGTAAGTATTCTTAGTTCCATTTACACATAAGAAAATTGCAGTTTAAAGAAATTCTCTCACCCAAAGTCACACAGTTAGTAAGTAGGGAAATTGGGGTAGGCCTCAAGTCCTCTGACCATAGACCAGACATAGACGAAATCAACCTTAAATACATCTTAGTGATGTGTTGAAAATCTCTTGCTGAGAATTAACCTGAATGGTAAGACAATAGACCCTGTTTCTCACCTCATGGTGGTAGTGGAGCCTCAGTTTAACTATGGGTGAAAGGATTCCTGTTCATTCAACATATTTTTTTCAGACTGCAATTTATGTTATCCTATGATAAATGAATGTAAATGTAACTTAGTAGCCAAAGGACAGTTGTCCAGACAATAATTTCAGCAGACTTTTGTGCTTCCTTGATTAACTCAAACCAGATTTTTTACTATGAGCCAAAATTGCATTCTTACATTTGAGCCAGATATCCTATTCATAGTCATAAATTCACTCGGGAAATTGGAGTACCCCCCCCCTTTTTTTTTCATCTTCAGAATGAGTCTATGCTTTAATTCCATCTGAAAACAGAAATCACACCAAGATACTTAGTCTATTAGTAATGTTTTAAAAGTTTTTGGTGATTTAATTGATTATATATTTGCTATAACATGAAAAGGTGTTTCTTATTCTGATAATACATGAAGAGAAATTATTTAATCTGAAGATCTCAACAGAAAATATGCACTAATCATTTGTGTTTTTTTTATATCTCCTCATTTCCTTCGGATTCTTTAAGGCCTGCCTTTTGCAAACGGAGAAATATTTGTCATTTAAATTCCAGCAATGTTATCTTTTCCCAAAAACACATTTATTTATATGGAGTTTTCTCTTCTAGGGGCTCCAAGAATAATATGTATATAGTGTGTGTGGGGGGACAGTCTTGAGAACTGTAGCAATGACAGTTTCAGTGGAGAAGATTTTGGATATTCTAGATCAACGATAGAATGTAGACTACATTTTTATAACTATTAAAAGGAAATGTCACCTGGGGATGTTTTTGTCCATGAAACAGACCAAGAGTGTGGTCCAGGGAAATTTTAATGGATCAATACAACAAATTGAACTCTGCATTTTACTTTAGAATGGGCATATCCTCAATTCAAGTAATTGATTTTTGTTTTGTTTCTTTTTTTAAAAAAATCTGATTTTGGTATATAAACACACACAAATGTGTCTCTTCCCCTACCCCTCACTCTTATTGCAGGCAACAAGGGAAGCCATTACTCAGCACTGCACTGACCTTGGGAATTTATTGGGCAAGGAGAACGATGTGGCCCTTATCATTGACGGCCACACCCTGAAGTATGCACTGTCTTTTGAAGTCAGGAGAAGCTTCCTGGACTTGGCACTCTCTTGCAAAGCCGTCATATGCTGCAGGTAGGCATGGGCAGGCTGGGTGTGATTCACGTTCTGGAACGTCGGTATCCTGTGTTTATATAAAAGAAATCAATGCATGGGAATTCTAGGAGTAAAGTATTTTTTTTTTTATAAAGGACAGAACTATCAAAAGACAAATTTAAATGTTCATTCACAGATTTTGGTAGAAGGCAATAAGTGGTTTTTACATTTTTGTTTTGTTTATTGTCTTCTAAGAAGATAAAAGAAGAGCCACAGCCTCCAGTCATATTCACAATGGGGAATAAAATGGAAAACTCTGCCTCAGGCTGGGTATGGGAAGTTAGAAGGATCCTTTCTATTTCTTATGTGATTCTGTGGTTCTCTGTGGCTGTGCTCAACTTCCAAGACTTGAGGGATTTTGATACTTCTCTTTTGATGTTGTGTGGGTATTTCTTTTTATTCAATAAGGAGCTTTGGTTGGGTCCATGCTATTCCAATTTTTGTGTTAAGATCTTACCGTGATACTTGTTTTTTTTTTTAATTAATTTTTTTGTTACAGTAACTTTGGCTTACATCCTTGTGTAATAGAAGTATTGCACCTCCCCCTCGTGTTGTTACCATACCCTGCCCACCATCAAGACACCCATAGTCCACCACCATAGTTCATTGTGCTTCCTCCCACCTTTCTCTTTCCCCTCTCCCACCCGATCCCCTCTGTAGTCTCAGTTCTATAATTACCTTTCTAGGGTTAATTCTTAGTTTACTTTATCTAGAGCTTTGTCTGGTCTCTCTCTATTTCACATATAAGTGACTCCACCCAGTACTGGCTTTTCCTTTTGACTTATTTCACTTAGCTTAATCTTAACCTTCCAGTTCCATCCATATTGCCCCATTCACAAGAGTTTATCTGTTTTGATAGCTGGTTCTATTGTGTATATATACTGCATCTTCCTGATCCACTCTTCTGTTTTTGAGACCTTAGGTTGTCTCCATAGCTTGGCTATTGAAAATAGTGTTGCAATCAACTTGGGAGTGCATGTTTTCCACTGAGTTAGTGTTTTTATATATTCTTCGGGTAGATGCCTAGGAGTGGAAATGCTAGGTTGTGTGGCAGATCTGTTTTTAATCTTTTGAGTGACCTCCCTAATGTTTTACATAGCGGTTGGACCAGTTTACATTCTCTCCAACAGTGTAATAGAGCTTTTCCTTCACATTCTCACCAATACTTTTGTTTCTGATCTTTTCTATATGGGCCATTCTCAGAAGTGTGAGGTGGTATCTCATTCTGGTTTTGATTTGCATTCCCCTGACAATAAGTAATGTTGAACATTTTTTCATTGTGCGTATTGGCCATCTGTATCTTCTTTGGAGAAGTGCCTATTTAACTGTTATGTCCATTTTTTTAATATTATATTTTATATAATTCTTACATCATTTTTCATTTTTGCACAATGTATGCATTTTCATTTTGGTTATAGTCCCCATACAATCGCACCCCCCCCCTTATTTTGACCCTAATCCTTCCTCTCCCCACCCCTCCCCCAAGTTCTGCCCATTTTTTGATGGGTATTTTTTTGTTGTTGAATTGTGTGCGTTCCTTTTTTTTTTTTTTTTAAAGCTTTATTTATTTATGCATAGAAAAACTTAGGTACAGGCCAGAGGTGCAGGGGGGTGAGAGGATTCACCAGAGACAGAGTGGAGAGCAGAACAGGCAGACCTACTGAAATATACTGCTAAGGGGAGCAGTGCACAAGACAGAAGTCTACTACGCCATATGTGGGTTAGCTTCCTGGCCAGGGATAGAACTCAGGCCCCAGTGGTGATAGCATGATAGCCCTGAGACTTAACCCCTGTGCCACCAGGGAGGCCCTTCATAGATCTTTGATACCAACCCCATTGTCAGATGTGTGATATACAAATATATTCTCCCATTTGGTAAGGTGGCTTTTTGTTTCAGTTACAATTTCTTTAACTCTGCAGAAGCTTTTTATTTTGACGTAGTCATAATTATTTATATTCTATTTTGTTTTCCTTGTGGCTGGAGATAAATCCACAAAGATATCTCTTCTTTGTTAGATTTTTATGAAAACTGGGAAGAATTTTAAGGTAGGCATTGTTATAATGCATTATTTACTGGTTATATAAGGTCCAGTTCTGATAAAGATTTGAAGGTTGAACAAAATTATGAAGAAGCTACTGTGAATCTGAATAGCATCACCCTACCTGTGCAGTAAACAACTTGAAAGATAAAAGCTTTCCCTTCATGAAAAGACTGACTTCACAGTACCTGGTGCATGGTTGAATGCTCAAGGCCTGTTATTGGTTTAATGACCTCATCTGTGCTTGCTCTTACATTTTATGGTTACATACTTGTATATATTGTTTTCTTTCACATTTTCTCAGTTATCAGACTGCATTAGTCCCCTAAGAATGCTTCTTTTGGGTTTGAATATAGTCCATTTAGAAGAACCAGTTGTCCCATTGAAAGATGACCTTGCCATTTCTGCCTTACTAGAACGCCCTAGTAACCTCGCCTGCCAGGTCTCTCTAGCTAGGCATAACACTGCCTGTGCAGGATGCTCAGCAAGTCTGAAGGAATGCATGCCTGCCCCCTGCCCTGCCTCAGAAAAATTGGCTCTTCCATGCCTCCCCATCTTCACCTCCTATATCCTACTATGAGTACCGTAGGAGACCAGAGTATCTCTTCTTATTTCCCCACACTTACAGTTCCCCACACGGAACCCTAAACTATTTGTCATCATATAATGATTGTTCTCCTTCATTTTATTTTGCTGTCCTGATCTCTTTTCTTAATTTGGAGCATGCCGCCAAAGTCCAAGGAGAGGTGAAACTGGCTACCTCCTCGGTGGGAAAAATGTTGCATTTATTCTTGGTAGTTGTAGGATGTTTAAGGGCCATGTGGGTGTTGTACAAATTCAAATGTGTTTGAAACACTGAATAAGGTCTTTGCTTTTCCTGAAAGCTAGAAAACTTGATGCAGCTACGAGGGACCTGGGATAATGAGGCATGATCAGATTGTCTGGAAATGAAATGCCACCTTCTAGTTTAATGAGGGACTCTTCTCTCTTTTTTAAAGCATTGCTTTTAGGCTATAACTCACTCATTTAAAAGTGTATGGTGCAATGGCTTTGAGTAGATTCATAGTTTTGTAATCACCACTATATCCAATTATAGAATATTTTAATTACCTCTAAAAGTGACCTTCTTACCCATCGTCAGTCAATCCCCTCCACCTCCACTCGCTAAACTACCACTACTCTGCTTTCCTATCTGTATAGATTTGCCTTTTCTGGAAATTTCATGTGAATGCAGTCATATAAGATGTCCTTTTCTGCCTAAATTCTTTCATGTAGCATAACATTCCAGTGTTGTTGAATATATCAGTACTTCAAGCCTTTCTATAACAATAATATTCTATTGTATGGATGTACTACCTTATCTATCCATTTTGATTACCATTTGGATTATTTATGCTTTTTGGCTCTTAGGAGTAATAGTGGTATAAAGGTTCCTGGACAAGTTTCTGTCTGGACATATGTCTCATTTCTCTTGGGGGAGCAGAAGTGATGGGTCAGGTGGTAAACCTTTGTTTAACCTCTTGAAGAACTAGCAGACTGGTTACCTAAGTGGCCATGCCCATTTATGCTCCCACCAGCAAGAGTGTTCCAGTTTCTCTACATCCAAACTAACACTTGTTATAATCTCTCTCTCTCTCTCTTTTTAAAGATTTATTTATTTATACAAGCACTGGGTACAGTCAGAAGTGTGGGAGGGTGAGAGAATTCACCAGAGACAGAGCGAGGAACAGAACAGGCAGACTGACGAAATACATTGCTGAGGGGAACAGCGGGCATGGCAGGAGAGGTCTGCGTGCCATGTGGGACCCTCGCCCTTAGCCAGGGATCGAACTGGCGCTGCAGAGGCTACAGGCAGCTTCGCAGCCCAGTGCTCAACTGCTGCGCCACCAGGGGAGGCCCATAATATCTCTTTTTGATTGGTCAGCCTAGATGGTCTGAGTACTAGCTCATTTTAATTTTGATTTGCGTTTCCCTAATCATTAATGATGCTGAGTCTTCTTATGTATACTTTTATTGACCATATTAGTATATCTTTGGGAGAAATGTCAATTCAAGTCTATGCACATTTTAAAATTAGATTTATCTTTCTAATATTGATTTGCTAAGAATTCTTTATTTTATCTGAATATAAGTATCAGATACATGATTTACAAATACTTTCTCCCATTCTGTAAGTTGTCTTTTCATCTTCTTATGGTAATATTTATGGCACAAAACATTTTAATTTAGATAAAGTTCAATTTTTTTGCTTTTCTTTTGTCACTTGTATTGCAGTATCATGTCTAACACACTTTCCTTTTTAATTGGCTGATACTGTGCTTTATTTCCTGGATTCAATTTGGGTAATTTAGTCCAGGGATATGCAAAAGGAAATCAATGGCAACATGCAAATAAGAAGGGTAGAAAGACAGGGGTGAAATAATTTCTCATAATTTCCCCTTGTGTCATTGTGGTAAAGTGGCTGAGCAGTAGTACCTGGTTTTCATGAAGAGTTGTTCCTGTCCTATCCAAAGCTCTAAGTCATTGTCAGGTTGGTAAGTTCATCCCCCTGGCTTGGTGGTGAGCAGAAACAAGCCCCAGAAACAACCTGGGAATGTTCAGTCAACTGTAAATCAAAGCCAATATGCTACAACTTCATGGTTTTTCAAAAGGAAATCAAAATGAGTCCGTTTGGATTCTCCAGGGGCAGCCAGGAACGCCTTCAAGGCTTTACAGTAACATGCTCTTTTCTTGCCAGGTGCTTGATACTAAAGAAAAACATCTTTTTCCCCTTCTTACTTTGGCTGCTTTCAGAGTGCTTTGTGTGTCACATAAGGCTGTACACTTAAGGACTTCACAGGAAGGAGTTCAAACTAGAATTGGCACAGAAAGAGGAAATTTCAAATTAAATACTGTTACTGTCTACAAAATAGAAGCACTAATTGAAAAAAGGAGTGTAGG